CGATGACCCCTATCTCCCTCTTTCTACATACATGTTATAACCATCACTCCGATTGCGCAAGGTCGGACACTCGCAAGGTCTGGCCAAAAACAGACGTTCCTTTTTGCTGTCCTAATTACTTTGAGCCATTACTGCGGGTTTCGTGCATAAGCGGACACAAAAAGGCACATACACATACGGAGACAGACACATTCACAGGCATCGAAGTTGACATATGACCTTAACTAACTAAATCACTTTATACTTGATCAGAGGCTAGATGTAGAGTATATATACCACTTTTTAGGTATTTGCCGGTGAGTTTTCTTGACTCGTTAGCTTTAATTTTGTTGTAACGATGATGCCTTGCTGTGATGATGTTCGGCATATGACAGACGAAAGCTTAGCCCTTTTTCACAGAAATCGAAGGAGATTATCTCGAAAACAGCGTCAGCATGAATCTTCCAATAGAGTCAATCGACAATCACCTTTAGTCATATTTTTGCTTCTTAATCCTATACAATCTGGTAAGTGTGAGAAGGCCCCGCATGAATTCATCATGACTGCAGGACGGTAAACCGAAGATCACCATACTCAAATTGATGAGTCATAGATGCATGAGCCAAACAGTTCAGGGGCGAACTTCCTAGTTCGTTGGCATAGCTACTAATCAAATAACCCACGAAATAGAAGCTTAAAAACCCAGTTGTTAAGCATATAACATATCACACCTGAAATACCTGAAGTACTCGAAGAAACGATAATAGATGAATCCGAGCAAGCGTTGGTGAAGTTGGGGGCAGAAACTGAGACTGAGCTGATGGGGGCAACCAGGGAGGTTGAGGCAACTGAGTGGCTAGTGCAAATAAGATCGCGTGGAGCAGCCGTAGTAAAGACCCCACTAGAGGTAGTTGAGAGCAATACTCCCGGAGTTTGGTTGTGTTGTCGAGAGGCTGGCCAGGCAGTAGCAAGACACCCAGGTTCTCGGACTCGAGTCGACTCAGTGCGATCACTCAGCAAAAAGCTCGTCTATAAGAGAGTAGAGAGGAGAAGTAAGACGATATGCAGATATAAATAAATACGAAAAAAGAGAATTAAAAAACATACAACTACAGGCATATGGACAATCAGCAATGTGAATGTACTTGAAAAAAGGCATACAAATTTATATGTACGCATAGCTTCAAAAAGTACAAACAAACTTACAGATGATGTTGGCGTACCTTAGCAGGATATCATGCTTTACAATAATTCGTTAAGCACGAAGATCTTTCTTGTCTTTGTGCTTTGCCTGGACGATGTTCGTCAAATGACAGAGGAAAGCCTAGCCCGGATTCATCGGGAAGGTGCACCGAAGACCTATTCAAATAAATCTACAATCACCTCTCCAAGGCCTCACCAGCTTCCGGTGAAGCAAATATACGAATCTTATCCACTCGCCTCTTCAAACGAGATGGAGGGCAAGCCAACATCAATCTATTAAGGAATTATGCGAAATCCAGCTTTTATTCATATATAAACAGTCCAATAGACAAACAGCAAAGTAAGCAGAATAAAAATCATGAGTTAAGGTATGTAGAAGCAGGGAGGGGAATTGAATAGGTGTGAATAAAATGCAAATAACGAAGTGATTTAGGTAATACGTGAAAGTGAAATTAACCATCATCGCTCAAGCAAAGACGTTAGGAATAGCGAAGCCAGTCGTGAAAATTGGGGTTTAATATGAAAGAAAAAGTTTTCCTGGTCAAAATAAATGAAATAGTGGTTAGGTTACTCAAAACAGATTTTGCTTGAGATTAGTGCCATTTACGATGGATGAGCTCCAAATGAATGCCCCCTTTTTGAGCTCTACCACAAAAAGTAGAAACATATTAAACGAATCAAGGCTCAAGCAAATAATAAAATGAATAACATGAGTGAAAAAAGGCTTTGAAAGTATGAATAAATCTTGAGTAAGAACTCGATTCACTCAAAATCATTTAAGGTAATATAAAGGATATTTGAATTCCCGACCGTAAGGTTTAAAACAAGATTAAGGGGGCCAGGATGAATTGAGTGGTTATGCGAGATCTACTGATAGCTTAGAAACCTACTCACGCCAATCCCGGCTTAAAAATATGAATTTGAATAGGCCGAAGTTGTAATGAGGATACTATCCGCGCCATGGCCCATTGGCACTCTCAGCTGTATAGCGTCGCTGCAGCTTTGCACACATAACCCGGTTTGTAGTCCCACTGATAAGGCCAAAGTGAGGTCGAAACTGCAGTCAACCCTGAATAGGAAAGCCTTTTGAGAGGATTCAGCTGTTGAAATAAGATAATATAGAGAAGATCTTTATCCATCTTATTGTGGTAAATTCAACTATCAGTCCTTACATTATCTTAAACGACATAAGGTGGCTCGAGTTACCAGTTCAAACTAAATATCGAAATCACACATCAAGTCTGACGGACTCGGCAAGATACCGACTGAAGATGTAACACCGCAATGCACAGCGCTAAGATTGAAGTACTATAGCGGACAAAGGTTCAAAAACGAGAGGAGAGCAAACGCAAATGACATTTTTACGCGATAAATGGGTAAAAAGAAAGCACTAAAAGGAATAGAAAGTATGGGAGTGGACTAGGACTTATTGTATCTCCATAAATAAGGCAAGCATATACAACTTCGCGTTTTTGCGGATACTGATGCATTTAAATTGTATTGCGCCCTTTGCTATTGTCATCCTGATGAGCTGTCTTTTTGCGTTAAGTATATGTCTCCTCAGTGGCGATGCTGATTACAATACCGCCGGAACACATGTCCATGTACCCAATCAACGGCCTGATGTTAGAAGAAGACAAGACAACAATGGCAGAAGGTGCAGTACGGAGTAAGTGTCCAAAAATCCTATTGAATACACTAAAAATGTGCGAAAACGAGATCAAACTAACGATATGAAAATAAGTGAGACTGCTACCAAGCCAGAGGCAACACTAACTTGATTTTGATATCTACGAAAGCATCAATTAATAGCTTGGAAATTAAGAGATTAAGACAAGGACACTTACAAGCTATGACAAATGGCGAGCACTTTAAATAGCATGAGTAAGCTTTAAGAAAAGGTAAAATAATGCTAAAGGCTGAACTTAGACGGGTGAGTGAAAGTGGATTAGAAACATAAAGGCGATCTACGATGCGTCTTCACCATAATCTAGGAGTTTCCACTACTAATGGAAGCTAACAAGGATCTGAGGAATTATACACCAAAAGGAGTACTATCATGATAATGAAGCCCATTGCAATCAAGTTGGTGGGGAGCACGCACCCTATGGGAATCACAACATCGAAATATTGCAGATGAAGCACCTTATGAGCTGCAAAATAGGGTGAACTGCATTAATAGGTCAAGCCCTCTTAGATAGAGAAAAACAACGAATAGAAGTTGTTTGACCTTGTTTTCGCAACTTGGTCATATTGGTAGGAATACTTACAGGAACGCACTTTGTCCTGAGTCCACTGTATGCATAATTATTTCCAAAGTCGGACCGTGGATGCGGTACATTCCCAAAAGTTTCGCCGGCATCGCAGTCGGCATCGTCAGTGAGTCTCGCCATTCGTAGCACCATATTACAACTCGTCA